AGGAGGCGGGGGCGGGTGGGGAAGGCTCGGCGAGGCGAGGCGAGGGCCCGGCGGTCCCCACCCACCCATCCACCCCGGCAGCCCTGCGTCTTTGACCTTGGGTGTTCCGCCATCCCCGGCTGAGGAAGCCCGGCCCGGGCAGGACGTGGCCTCCCAGGTGGCCGCTCTAGAATACTGGGAATTTCACAAGTCGTTACCCTGGGGGGGGTCGACGTGTAGAGACGCCAGAACCAAGGGAGAACGTGGAGGAACGCTAGCTTCACTATGGTGGTGTCAGTAGCTCAATAAACCAACCCGTAGTATTTGGCCACAACTCTGGTCGCCAAGGTTCGTCCCAGGCTATTTGCCCTCAACTACGATGGCGGCGTCAACCAATTTGGCTCCGTGCCCTTAAGTAGGATGGCCGCTGGGCGGCTTCACTTATTTTCGCCCCACTCCGGAAGACCGGGGCCGGCGATTGGGCGGTGCCCGGCGACTCGCCGAAGAAGGCTTCCGCCGGTTGGACAGCGTTGGGTAAGGCTGCTTTTAAAGGAGCCGGCGGTGGGAGCTGTGAGACACCGGGGTCCGCGGGAGGCGGCGGTGAGCGGCGCGCGGGGGAGGGCACCGGCTGTCTGGGAGAGGGCAGGAGGCGGGCGGGGAAGGAAGAGCTGGAACCCTCTGGTCTCGGGCTCGGGAGGAGGCCGGGCGGGGGCAGGGCGGGGGCTGGGGTGGGCGGGACCTCCCGGGATGGGAGGGAGGGTATCTGCCTGACAGTAGATCCCCCGGGATCCTGCCTGAGTTCCGCGATGCCCGAGGTCGGGCCGCGCGCGGCTGAGTGCAGCTTGGGTGAGCCGAGGCTCACGGGGGAGGAGGAGCCTCGCGCGGCTGCTCCGATGGGAAGGAGTGCGCTGTTGGATTCTTTCCTGAGGGATCTGGTCTAGGGGATCTGGTGGGCGGGAGGGCTGTCCGTGTGCTGTGTGTGTGTGCTGTGTGTGTGTGTGTGCCACTGGCTGAGAGGGGAGGAGGATCGAAGAGGGAGCCAGCGGAAATACAGCCTTCCAGCATCGGGATCCCAGCGGATCCCAGGGAATCTCAAGGGCGGAACCTGCGGGGACAAAGGCTCAGGAAGGCTCGGGCCTCCGCAATACCAGTTTCGCGGCAGGTGCCAGGCAGTGCCCGAGTGATCCGCTGATCGAGCCGGCGGCAGCGGGAGGACGCCCGCTCCGGGCGGCCTGAAGGGGGCGCCCTTACGCTCCCCAGGGCTCGAGAGCCTGTGGGCTTCCCGGAGCCGCAGGCGGACCATGAAGGGTGGAGCCCCGCGGGAGGGACCGGCCCTCACTCCCCGCTCCCCTGCTCCCCCCTTGCCCCAGGCCGCAGCCTGGGATCCCCCAGGGACCCCCTGGATCCGCCGCTTCCCCCATGGACTTGCCTGGGGACTCCAGGTGAGAGCGCACCCCGCCCGCCTGTCTTGAGCCCGGGAGACGGGGATCCTGGCTGCTGTACTGGGAAGCTACAGAGCCAACGACAGGTTTCAGGCGACTGTCCTCTTCTTTCTTTTACTCTCCAGCCAGTCTAACCAGACGAATTTGTGCCGTCAGCCCCTGACTCGAACATTATGGGGAGCCAGAAGCCCGAAAAGACCAAGGCTGCAACAGCCTATAGGGGCCCCTTCGCCCCTGGAAAAGGCATCTCGGCGGGTCCTAGCCGTGGTGCTGGAAGATATCATGGCTACCCACATGGTGAGCTCCCTGAACTGAAAATCTCCCCCAGCAACTTTGTTCAAGACCAGTCAGACCAGATCCCGAGGAGGATACTGATGTGATTCTCATGTCCATCACCCAGGCAACTTCCTTAATGCTAGGGTCCTGCATGGCTCCCACTAATCCCACGCTAGAATAAAGCAAGGTCTTCAGTGACCCAATATATCGTGCTGGGTCCACATTTTGTACAGTTCTTGCTGAGCACAGGTGCTCACACCTGTAAATCCTAGGTATTCAGGAAGCTGAGATGAGGATCAGGGTTCAAAGTCAGCTAGGAAAGTCCTTGAGACTCTTATCTCTAATCAGTCAGCAAAAAGCTAGAAGTGGAGCTGTGGCTCAAGTGGTAGAGCACTAGCCTTGGGAAGGAGAGGTGGAAGGAACAGTGCCCAGACCCTGAGTTCAAGTCCCAGTACAGGCATGCACACACACGCACACCTGCATTTTTTTTTCCTTGAGAAACATGCTGATATATTTGGTTGTACTGCACAGATGAGAAAAACTGAGATTCAAAGTAGGACGGGGAGGGGGCGTGCTGGGAAGGTGGCTCGGTGATAGAGTGCTTGCCTTGCATGCATGAGGCCCTGGGTTCAATTCCTCAGCACCATATAAACAGAAAAAGCTGGAAGTGGCACTATGGCTTAAGTGGTAGAACACT